TTTAATCTAAACGTTTGTGTGGGCTCTGCAGAGTCACATGACCCCATCTGACTTTCCCGTTTTGTGTGCAGGCAGGAAAAGACGTTACAGCAGCCGACGCGGCGTCAGCACCACAGACACCTGAGGCGAACACGCGGCCGCTCGAGCGGCTTTTTACACATTAGGATCAAAAGACTCAAAGTGTGACATTTGTGTGAAGACGAATGAAGAGCGAAAAGTATAAAAAGCACAAAGTGCTGCCTCACGAAACGTCTGATAATTATGGGATGTATTGCTGCGCGGCAAACGGGTAACAAATGCAGAGAAGCATCGAAAATCTGTGTGAACAGACTCTGGCTTCCCACTTCACAGACCCACTCCCACACCAACAGCATCACCACGAACCCCCTCGCCTTCCATGTGAAAATTGTCCTGGGAATCGCTGCTCTTTGGTCCCACAGGGAACTTGTGTGAGAGTCTGAGTGTGTACAGGGGGTTATGTGAATGTCCTCCTAACTGCCCTTAAGAATTTTGACTCCTTGGGAAATAAATACAGCATTTCCTCCCTCTCTCTCTGCCTGCACACTTTCTCACGTCCGTCACGGACCTCACAGGGGCGGCAGCAGCACGGGCTCATGGTGTCAGCGCGCCCACCGTGCTGCTGCTGTGACCCTGCCTTACAAAGAAAAGCAAACTGCTAACCTGCAATGGATAAAGTCAGTCTGCAGCTGTCAGTGTGATTAAGCAGATGAAAGCTCTCCTGTATTACGGCCCAACACTCAGAGAGAGAACAAGGTAACTGAGTGAAAGTAAGCAGCGCTTCATTAAATGCATGAATCTTTATCAGATGGATTTAATGAAACGTGTTGTTCTCGTTTGTACTTCTCCATAAACTTTATTAACAGCTAAACTGGGAATATATGAGGAATGCTCTTACCCAGGATGTTGCTTCCACATATTCTCCTCTTCCATCTTTTCTCACTTACCACAACAAAGCAGTGTCCTGAGGAAAAAGGCAGAAATTAAGTGCTTTGCATTCATGAGTATTTTGTTCCTGTGACCTTTTCTTTCATCACACTGCTTTATACACCGACGCTTTCACGGGGATCACGAGCTTCAGTCAGTCAGTGATCACATCATTGAGGTTAGAGACATCCGGGCTGGGAAAGCAAACGGTGCGGTGAACCATCAGGCTCCTTGGTACACAGATGATATACAAACACCCTGTTAGAGGTTCCTGCTCGGTGGACCTTACAATCGCCTCAGCTTGTGTCTAATAACAGTGGAGGAGCATTCATTCACATCTAGAAACAGCAATGTGCAGCTTACTGTGTCCTCCTGCTACGATACAGATACACTCAGTGTCATGTTGGTATAAATGCAACAGGGTAACAAATAACTTCCTAAAGGCTGCAAAGCAAAAATCGCTGACTTTTTAAAACAGCGTAACAGAAGACGTTCAGGTGCATCGTTACAAGATTACAGGCAGTCAAATATCGCTGTGACATCAACACGTTCCAGACCACAGAGACATCGCCAACATCATACCTGACTCTCTGCTGCAGGTCGGCGAGCTGCGGCGCCGCTGGGCTGATGAGAGGACTCTGCTTTTCATCTTCACTCGCCGGGTGCTCAGCGTTGCCTGGTGAAAGGAATTAACTGCCCTTTACTTTGGTTGTGTCTCTTGTTTGGTAGCTGCTGGTGATGAGGTCACAAACGTATCTGGCTTCCTTTAAAATTCCCTAAAGTTACGATTTTTTCCACATTAAGTGGGAGCTCGTGGCACGACTGCTCATCAGAATGGGTCGCCCTCTCCTCCCAGCGTCTCGCTCTTATGAAGCTGAGACATTCCACTCTTACCTTGTATGGCTGTAAGAGGATGGGCCATACACCAGGAAATGCCCCCTTAAGATATTACTGATTGGATAATATTAGAGGAACCAAGGATCCTCAGCCAGGACCTGAGGAGATGGAGAGACAGAAGATAGCAGAGAAGAGAGGGAGAAACAAAGGAGTGGAATAGGAAGTGGGGAAAGGGTTGTGACAGGAGCAGGAAGCTGAGAAACCAGGGCAACTGGAAGAGAGAAGGGGAGGTGCAGCCAAAGGGAGGCGGGAAAACTGGGAAGCGTAAAAGGAAAAGCAGGAAGAAAGAAAGTGAAGTGAGATTAAACGCCTGGCGTGTTGAAGGAGTTCATCTCCTCACTGCTACAGCTCAGGAGGCCGAGACAGGCTGACTAACAGCACCTCCCCCAGCCAGCTACAACCACAGTGACTGTACTTTACCTTTAGTTCAGGCAGTTTTACAAACGTATCAGCTGTTTGGGAATCTTTGGACAATTGACTGACAATTTTTAATTTTTATAAAGCACCAAATCACAACACCAGTCACTCCCGAGCACTTTACTCTGTAAGGTAAAGACGAGGAAGCACTTTGGAGGGAAGCTGTCAGGCTGAAGCAGTAATCTGAAGCAGACCACATCACATGGTCCAGATACAGTGGGGCAAACTGTGTTTATTCTGT